GGCCTTCATAATTCTGGGATTCACATTTAGGTCCTTATTTATATGTATTTTTGTATCCTCAAAATTTTGTTTTTCTTTTAACCTCAGAATTTTAAGATGAAGCTTAAGAGACTACCACCTCCCCATGTGATATATTTAGGTGTTTTGTCAAAAATCAGTTGGCTGTATGTAGATGGGTTAATTTCTGGATTCTCAATTCTGTTCCATTGATCTATGTATCTTTCATTGTACCATACCAAGCTTTTTACTACACTATTGCTGTGTAGTAAATTTTCAAGATGGGGAGTGAGAGGCCTCAAATTTTGTTCTTCTTCTTAAGCAGTGCTTTGCTTATCCTAGGTCTCTTTCTTTTCCATATAAATTTGTAATTGTTTTTTCCATTTCTTTGAAGAATATTGTTGGAATCTGGATTGGGATTGTGCCAATATGACTTTTAAGAAGCTGTGGTAGCATAGTTGTTATGAGTTGGGCTACTAATTTCAAGGTTGGCAGTTGGAAACTACCAGTGATCTGCTGGAGAAAAATGAGGCCTTCAGCTCCCGTAAAGATTTACAGCCTTGGAAACCCTACGCATGGTACCTATTAGTAAGAACTGACTCCACGGTATACTACCACTGCCACCAATATGATTTTAGGGAGTCCTGGTGTGGTGCTGTGGGTTAATGCGCCAGACTACAAAGCTATTTGAACTGCAAGGTTGGCAGGTCAAGCTTACCAGCATTCCTTGGAAACCTATACAGGGTCGCTATGGGTCAGAACCAACTCAACGGCATTTAACAACAACAGTATGATTTTGTGGGTAAAATATTTTAATTACATGTTTTTAAAACTATCATGTATCTTTTTTTAAGAACTTGAAAAAATAATTGTTGTAAAGACCAAAACCAGATTATATCAGGTGGCCAATAATTCCTACAAATCTTTGTCAGTGAATACAGAATATGAGAACTGAGTTCAAAATTTTTTTTTTATGTTAAAGTACTACTACACAGAAATAAAGGAGTGCTGGTAACATAGTGGTTAAGAGTCAGGCTGCTAATTTCAGGGTCAGTAGTTTGAAACTACCAGTGGATCTGTGGAAGAAAGATAAGGGTCTCTGTTTCTGTAACCCTCAGAAACCCCATACAGAGTCGCTATAAGTCAGAACTGACTATAGGGCATAGAAATATGGTGTGATGCTATAGGATAAGCACTGGCCTGCTGCAGGATGTGCATTGTAGTTAGCAAGGTTGGATGTTCAATTCTACCAGTTGCTCCTCAGAAACTCAACAATATATAGCAATAAACAATGTTTATATTGTTTTTATATTTTATCCACTTTTTTTTCTCTAAAGGAGTATATTATAGAAATATATAATGGATGATTCTGATCTATTTTAAGTTCAAAAGGATCATTGTTTCCAACTACTGTTTACAAAGAGGGTGAAAGGCAAAAGGACAGATTCATTTTACAGAATAAATCCATCAGTGACCATGACAGGAGTCTCCACACCTTTTCATCGTTTCTTCAACCAATCCTAGGAAATTTTCATAAGCCACATTCACCTACCCCTTCCAATAAGTAGTCAAAGCAATCAGAGACATTTTTTTCTGCTAATTTTACATGCAAATGCACAGAAGGGTGAAAAGATTTGAAAATTAGATGCATTACATAAAAATCAGCAAAATAATTGGAATATACTTTAGTGAGGGTCATTTGCTTTAACTATAAAAATGTACAGAGAGAGAATCTTGAGTTAATGTCCCATGACTTCTGTACTGGAGACTGAATCTCCCTATGGAAATACACTGAAGAGAATTTAAGAAATTCCCATTAGGATTGGATAGAAAATGAACTTTGCACTGTAATTATAGTCACTGACCTATTAGTAGTCTCCAAGATTTTCATTATTTTAATCCCAAATGTTTTAGTGACCAAGATTTATAGTCAGAAATTCTATTATTTCTTACAACATAAGGCAAGTAACACGCTGTCACAAACCCTTTTCAGATATTTCCAGGTAAAAGAAATACTCTAATTTATTTTTGCTTTCAATATTAACATCCATAACTACTGATTTCTCAAAATGTATTATTTTCATGTTCTTAAATTTTGACTCACTCGTTACCTTTCTAGCATTCTGCTACATTAAAGACTGTGGGGTACTAGAATGAGACAAAATACTACAATTCATTCTGACTGTTTTTGATTTTAAGATAGAATTTCAAAGCATACAGGTAAGAGCACAAAATACTTTTATTAAATGATGCAGGTATGTTTATTTAAAGTTATTTCTGATTTGGATGAAAATTTAGAAGGTTTATATTTAATATTTTAAAATTAATGAATAAATAAGATATTTAGACCATGTCTTTCTTTTGATTTTATGGAGAACTTATTTAAATATGATGGATGAATATCCAGTTCACCATAGAATTGACATGATTAGTATATTCAATCGAGATGTCCTACTGCTATCACTAGATAATGAGAGAGATAACCTTTTAAAGCTAAATAAAATTTCTTCTAAAAAATCCTCAGAATATTTCAAGTGTTCATTTTTTAGAAGTGTTGGAAAACTCAAGTACAAAGTAAACTTACTTTAGTTTATTAATTTATAAGAAGCTATTGTAATATAATACAGAACATTTATAATTTTCAAGGAAACAAAAACAGTAGATAAGATTGCACAGTATGATTGATGTCGTTAAGTTGTACAATTGAAAATCTTGAATTGCAAGTGTTGTGTGACATATATTTTTACAGCTACTAAAAAAAAAAGTCCCTTAAATGAATAAAAGACACAATATTTTCTTCAACTATTCTACTAGTGTGCTTTAAATAATTTCCTTTGTAGACTCTGCTTCAAAGCTAATAATGTCATTTGAAGAGACCAAAAAGGTCACTTACATAATTAGTTTTTGTTGTTGTTATGTGCCGTGGAGTCGGTTCTGACTCATAGTGACCCTGTACAGGGTTTCCAAGGCTGTAAATCTTTATTGGAGCAGAAAGCCTCATCTTTCTCCCTCATAACAGCCGATAGTTTCAAACTGCTGACCTTGAAGTTGGCACCCAGACTCGTAAACACTTATGCTATCAGAACTCCTTTATATCATTCATAGGGTACTCAAAATAAATTCACTTTCCTATGTCATCAGAGAGGAGTTAAGATTTGAATCAATTCTGCCTTCCTACTATAGTTATTTGGAGTTCCGGTGTGGCGCTGTGGGTTAATGCGCCAGACTGCAAAGCCGTTTGAACTGCAAGGTTGGAGGTTCAAACTCACCAGCGTCTCCTTGGAAACCCTTTATAGGGTCGCTATGGGTCGGAATCGACTCGATGGCACTTAACAACAACAGCAACTATAGTTATTTACAGTTCCTTTAACAGAAGTATGTTGTTGTTGTTATTAAGTGCCACAAGGTCAGTTCCAACCCATAGCGACCCTGTATGGTTTCCAAGGAGTGGTTGGTGAGCTTGAACCGCCAACTTGGCGATTCAAATCGACTTTGCAGTCTAGCGCATTAGCCCACAGAGCAACAGAAGTATTAGACACAGTTAATCACAAATACTTACAATCTAATAAAGAAAGTGTGCATACACACATGAAAAAAAGCAATGTAGATTAATCATGAAGAATTCTAGATCATGTTAAATATATAAAATATGCTGAAGTACTCAGAAAATGGTTATCAATATGGTCTATACTGTTTTAATTAAAAATTTATTAAGTAGCATTATATGTAAACTATGTAGGATAAACACAGGACTGCTGGACACAAAATCTGCAGTTCTTTGGAAATCCTATATAGGGTTACCAGGAGTCAGAACTGACTTGATGGCTCTTAGCAACAACATGCCTTACATAAAGTATTGAAAGGATACATGTATTTAGTCAAAGTGCCAAATCATATTTGAAGTATAATCTGTAAGAAATAATAGAATGGGCAGAGTCAGTGTTTATGGAAATGAGCGAGTGGGGCAATGGTGATGGGTGATGAGGGAGCTGGGTATGGGTGAACACAGTGTAATAGAAGAGCTACTGGTGAAAGTGAGAATAAAGGATGGAGGAGGATCTGGTTACAAAGAACTTTAAACGCTATCCTAAAGAATTTGAATGCATCTTGATGTCATTGTTGTTGAGTGCCATGGAGTCGGTTGCTATGAGTTAGAACCCACTCAACAGCAGTTAACACCAAAACATAGCAGAACTGTTGTTGTTAAGTGCCATTGAGTCAGTTCTGACCCATAGCAGCCATAAATAGGGATTCCTAAGAGCAGTTGGTAGGCTTGAACTGCTGACCTTGTGGTTCAAACCAACTTTGCAATCCAGCGTACTAACCCACAATGCCACATCAGTACTCCATTATAGTAAAATGGGTTAATAGAAATATGAAGATGATATGTACCAATTAACTTATTAAGGAATTCAATGCATTTTTATTTTCCTGACTTTCCAAGGTAATTTTATTTAAATAGCCCCTTACTCAATACTTAGTGATCTTTGCATACCTACTAAATTATAAATTTCACCTACTGTATACTGTTTTAAGGTATTACTTAACTCTAATTGTACATGAAACAAATGTTAGTTCAATTAAAACTATACATAGGAAAATAGATTTTTAATATGTTTTAAGCTTCTTCAGTGAAAAAATAATACTGAAATATCTGAGAATATGAAACCAATTAAATCAATCACTGTGTCTGTTCACTATCTTTGTATACATAAGGTTATAACCTTATGTATACAAGCCTTTTACTACAAGCATTTTGCTAAAACTATCAAAATATTATTACAAATCTTGAGCATCAGAGCTTAAGGTCATATAAGATGACACTAATCAACATTCTTTATTAGTATGTGTTCTTCATATACAACATTTTAGATACAACAGAGGAAACTTGAGGAAGTGGCTCTACTCCCTGTTGGCCTAGAGAGATTCAAAAAGTAGATTAGACATGTTCTAATTTAGAATGTTATCTCTATATATTTTCTATTTCAACAGAGAAAGTACAGATGGCAGAGCAAAATCACTCCTTGACAACTGAGTTTATCCTCATGGGATTTATGGATCACCCAGATCTGAAGACTCTTCTGTTTGTGGTGTTCTTTGCCATCTATCTCATCACCATGGTGGGGAATCTTGGTTTGGTGGTGTTGATTTTCATGGAGCGCCGTCTCCATACACCAATGTACATCTTCCTGGCCAACCTGGCTTTGATGGATTCCTGCTGTTCTTGTTCCATTACCCCCAAAATGTTACAGAACTTCTTTTCTAAGGACAGAATGATTTCCCTCTATGAATGCATGGCACAATTTTATTTCCTCTGTCTTGCTGAAACTGCAGACTGCTTTCTCCTGGCATCAATGGCCTATGATCGCTATGTGGCAATATGCCGTCCACTGCAGTATCACACCATGATGTCGAAGCAACTCTGCATTCAAATGACCATAGGGGCCTACATAGTTGGGAACCTGCATCCCATGATTCACGTAGTACTACTATTGAGGCTAACCTTCTGTGGATCTCATCAAATCAATCACTTCTTCTGTGATGTTCTTCCACTATACAGACTCTCCTGTGTTGATCCTTATATCAATGAATTGATGATATTTATCTTCTCAGGGTCAGTTCAAGTTTCCACTATTACCACAGTCCTAATCTCTTATATTTGCATTATTTACACAATTTTCCAAATGAAATCCAAAGAGGGAAGAATGAAAGCCTTATCTACTTGTGCATCTCACTTTCTTTCTATTTCAATATTTTATGGTTCCCTTCTTTCCATGTATATTAGGCCAAGCTCAGTTCAAGAAGCAGATAAAGACATACCAATTGCTATTTTTTATACTCTAGTAATTCCTTTATTAAACCCTTTCATCTATAGCCTAAGAAATAAGGAAATAATAAATGCTATGAAAAGAATTATGAAGAGAAAATCTCATAACATTCTGAAACAAATATCCCCTGCGACAAATTGATTGTACTTAGATAAATGTTGTTAAAGTCAAGAATACTTAGAAAAGAAAATATACCCACTTTGTATATCAAATATTAAATTATTAAACTATAAAGACTTTTAAGTCACAGAATGTATTAATGGTTAAATGAGTTCAAAATGGAGGGATGCTGCTAAAATGTATTTCAAAATTTAAACTATTAGGGTCTCTTTGTTGTTATTAAATGCCATCGAGTCTGTTCCGACTTACAGCAACCCTGTACAAGGTTCCTGAGGAGCAGCTGATAGGTTTGAACAACCAATTTTGTGATTCTCAGTCCATTGCTTATCTTACAGCACCACCTAAGGGGGGCCAAAGCTGTTTTAGTAGTGAATTAATGACAACTCCTTAGATTACAAATTTTGTCAGATTGGCATTAGGTACAATTTTCAAAATATATAACAAATCCAAGGAATAACAGTTAGTATGTAAACATAGCCTCCTTCTAGCATCATTGACAAATTAATGGTAATCCTAGGAATAATGCTCACATACAAGTTTTAAGTTCTCATATATTCATTACTTAAGCTACAACCATCTATCAGAAGTAAACCAGGATTTGAATTTGATTCTTAACATCTTTTTTGTTTAAGAGATTATGTTTGAATAGGGATTGATATAAATATGTACTCTCAAATCAAGTACATCTTTAACTTTAGTTACTAATTTTTCCTGGTAAGCTGTCTGAAATAGAGCTGATGTGGTGCTGTAGGATAAACACTGGACTGCTAACCACAAGGTTGGTAGTTCAAACATACCAGCTGCTCCTTGGAAACCATAAGCATGGTCAATAGGGGTTGTAACTCACTCAACACTTAACAATAACAATAATATCAATTTTTAGCTGAAAATATTCCTGTTTATATTCGAAGTCCTAAGGAGTTGAATGTTTTCAAACAGTTTGATAGTTATATATGATGTATAACAGTGTAATAACTGAATATGTTCATTGATTCAACAGATTCCCATCCCCTCAATAGCATTAATTTACCTTATTATTTGGAATATCACTAATTTGCATAAATTCCAATATAAACTACTGGTATAGCAATACTATTAAAAGGACGATGGAGACACGACTCATTATAAATGATGCAGAAAATAGTTAAAATCTTAATGAAAAAATGTATTAATCATTTCAATGTGCAAAAATTTTTTTTAAATGATTTAATGAAAACCCACACTTTGCTAGGCAGAAAATTAAATCTTTCATCTATATTACGTTCTGGTGAGTTAGGCATTATTTCCCATGCTTTTCCATAATAATAATAATAATAATAAAATCTCATACTCAGAAAAATTAAGCAGCTTGCTCAAATTCAGATACCTAGAAATGGAGCTAGGATTGAAATCAATGATGCTTTTCTCCATACTGCTTTTTAACTCCTTTCACAGAAACTTAAGTCACAGTAGACTACAAAATGGTTAAAACCTAATAAGGAAATTTGAAATAAACATGTATGGTAAGAAGCAATGTAGATTGCAAAAAAGAATCTTTGGTTCTGTTGGGTATATAGCATATGCTTGGGAATTCAGAAAATGGATGTCAGTGTAGCTTGGAGTATTTAGTCATTATGTAGCAGCATAAATAACAGAAGTTTAAAGGGTGAAAATGGATTTTGGGGGTGAAATGAGCGGAGTTTATGTTTATGGAAATGTTTGTGACAAAGAGGGTAGGGAATGAGAGAAATGAGGATGAGTGCAGAAAACTGGCAGAGATATTGGTGAAAGTTGTCAGTGTGGGAAAATAAGGATGAAAGTAGATCTTCACTGAAAACTTATTGTTTTTATTCATTGTCATTGAGTAGGCTTTGACTCATAGTGACTCTGTGTAGGGTTTATGAGGAACTGCTGGTGAGTTTGAATCATGCGCCTTGCAGTTAGCTGTCCAGCGCTTATTCAATAGCGCCACATTTGTTGTTGTTGTTACTGTTGAGTCCGTTCCGACCCATAGCGACCCTGTATAGGGTTTTTGAGGAGCAGCTAGTGAGCTTGAATCGCCGACCTTGCAGTTCAAATGGCTTTGCTCTCTGGCGCGTTAATCCACAGCGCCATACCAGGACCTGAATTAATCTTAAAGGCTTCAAACATTGACATCTTCCTAGAAGCAGAATAAAATGATTTCTTATAGAAAGAAAGTCTTGTTTGATTTGGAATTTGACTATAAAGGGAGGCTACAAGCAATGAGACTCATTGTAATAGTTCAAATATCAGGCTGATAGAGATGATTCCGGTGAAGATCCAAAGAAAGGAAATACATATATGGAGTCCTAGTGTGGCACTGTGGGATAAGCACTCGACCGTAAGACCTGTTTGAATTGTTAAAGGTTGGTAGTTCAAACTCCTCGGAAATTCTGTATAGGGTCGCTAGAGGAGGCCATCACTTCCTCTTGAGGGTTCTAATACAGAGCACAAGGAGCTCTGGTAGCGTAGTGGTTACGGATCCAGCTGCTAACGTCAAGATCGGGAGTTCAAAACAACCAGCCGTTCCGAGGGAGAAAGATTTTTGCTCCCGTAAGGATTTACAGCTTCGGAAACCTTGTACAGGGTCACCATGAGTCAGAACCGACTCCACTGTACTTAACAACAACAACAACAACAATGTATTGATGAGGCTTTCTGCTCCCGTAAAGATTTACAGCCTAGGAAACCCTGTACAGGGTTGCTATGGTTTGGAACCGACTCGACAGCACTTACCAACTTGCATATATATACACATATACATATATATATGCAAGTAAATTCAATATATATATATGCAAGTAAATTCAATATAATGTATACATTATATTGAATTTACTTGCATATTTCACACAGTTTTGTCCTTCTATTTCCAATTATTCATGTTGGCTTTCTACTTACTTTAATAATTTTTAAGTTCCAATATAAAGTAGTAGTTATATTGTGAAAATGTTTTATCATTTAAAGTTTCAAAACTGATGAGTCTATTAAGCATTTATTCTTTTTATTTCCTCAGATTTTAGGCCCATTTCAAGTCTTTAGTAATATTATTGTCATTTATATCTTTAACATATTGAAAAAGAATTATAAAGAAAGCTGAGGGAATACTTCCCCCAAGGGCAGCACCTACTTGTTCACTGATTTTTGGTTCAGTTCTCTAACTCTTGTTCAGGTGTGTGAGTCCAGATAAAGAACATGATAACATGTATTCTTTGTTTCGTAGCATTGCAATTCTCTGAACCTTATACAGGGTTCCTATGAGTTGGAACTGACACAATGACACTTAACAACAACACTGCAACATCACTTCGAAGGACATTCCTGAATAAATGCATTGCACTAGATCTATCATTGGATGATAGCCTAATTGCAAACAATTTTTATACATGTAAAGAATGAAACTTATGTAACTCATTTTAAGATATTCAGAAAAATCAAGCTATTTCTGTGTGAAGTCATTCTTGAACACCCTGTTTTGCAAGAATTTGATACTCAAAATTTATTTGTGAATAAACTTCTGAAAATTTTTATTTGATAAAATTAAAGCTACGATTCCCCTACTCTAAAAACAATTTAAGGTAATTATGTTGTTGCTAAGTGCCACCGAGTCTGTTCCGACTCCTGGTGATCGTGCTGAGTGTTTCTGAGGTGTGGCTGGTGAGTTTGAACCACCAACCTTTCAGGTCAAGCCATCCTGCAGTTGAGTGCTTACCCTAACTACAGCACCACACCAGGACTCCAAGGTGTTACAGTCACTTTGAATAGTAACTTTAAATAAGTAATTTCTCTAAGACTAATATATTGGTCAAAGTATTGAAACAAATATTTAACAATTGATTTTCCCAATAAGTGAAAAGAAAATGTTCTTACATGAATGAACTTCCATTTTTATTCTCACAGATCAATTTCAGTGATAAAGTAGTTAGAAGTTTCATGAATACAAAATTTATTTCTTTAGGAATTACAAATTCATTCAATTTTCGCTGTTTTAATACCGATGTCTCATTTTGGGAATTCTGGTGTGGCGCTTGTGGGTTAATGCGCCAGACTGCAAAGCCATTTGAATTGCAAGGATGGCAGTTCAAGCTCACCAGCAGCCCCTTGCAAACCCTATATAGGGTCGCTATGGGTTGGAACTGACTCGACCGCACTTAACAACAACAACAAAGGGAATCTTGGTGTGGCATTGTGGGTTAATGCACCAGACTGCAAAGCCATTTGAAATGCAAGGTCCACGGTCCAAGTTTACCAGCTGCTCCTCAGGAAGCCTATACAGAGTAGCTATGATTTGGAAGTGACTCGATGACACTTAACAACAGGAATAAGTAATTAAAGACTTTATTACACCTTCCTTGTTCTTTTTCCATCATGTCATTTATCGTATGCCTTTCATGTCCACACTTCTTTTTAACACTTGTCCCACTGAGAGTAGTCTTATAAAGGAGTTAAAATCCTCTAATCAAACTTCTTTTATATATATATTACATATATATAATAGATGACTGGTAATTATAAACCACAAAATGAGTAGAAACAGTTTCTTCTGACTCTAATACTTGTTCCAACATGCCAGGGATTCTCCCTATGTATTCAGCAAGGAGGAGGAAGAGACAGCAGCATTTATCAGAGTCCTAGTTCACAGCATTATAAGGATCAGGACTAATATTGTGAAGTACAGTACTGCAAAAAGTAAACTGCAGGAATAACAATTAGGAAGGTTTGCATGGGCTAAGTGGGACAGAGGTAAATAATGATGTATGCACAACCTTGGAACAACAGGGCTCTGGGATACAGGGATTGAGACATGGTTGGAATGGTGAAAAGGGGAGATATAATGTTAAGATGCTTATCTGTCTTTTGAATCTTGGTTTCCCTGGCATACCATTATAAAATAGCCACTTGAGGGAGAGAGAAAGGAATAGCCAGAAGTATCACCATAGAAAGCTTGTAAGTCCATCTTCTATCTATAACTGATTGGAATACCTAAAATGGGGCTACAACATGTCCAGGGAAGGAAGTTT